ATTTATATAGATATATTAATATTATAATATATATTAGAGAGAGATAGAGATAGAAGAGAGGTGATAGCGAGATATATAACTGATGAATATATTACCCTGTAGACGTATGGGCTATCATTGTGGTCTGTCCCGGAGCTGATTAGTGGGGCGGGGGGGGCTACTGGCCGTCTATGGCCGTGGTGTGGAGGGGGTGTGTATTTATCGTGGATGACGGAAGTGTCCGAGTCTGTGGTTGGGACGTTGGATGAGTCGGATGGGGCTACTCTCGCGGGCTGTGCTGATTGATTGGTGTTATTTGATGTTTGAGAGAGAGAGAGATGATTTGAGTGTTGTAGAGAGAGAGGAGAGAGAGAGAGAGAGAGAGATGATAGATTAGAGCCAGAGAGGAACAGCCTAAGAGTCAACTAATTATACATAAAAAGTCTTTACATGTATATATCTTGATATATATATCTGTTTAATATTATATTCATATAGTATATATATACTATATATATATATATATATATATGCTCACTAATCTCTTACATACATACATATATGAATAAATAAATAAATTATTACTATACATTATTATATACTCTTCTTACTATCTATCTATTACGTCTCTTACTTTCAATCTATGTGTATATATATATATAACTATTTTTACATCTCTATTTATCATAACTTATATTATCTCTTCATTCATCTATTCATTACTACTATTACTCAATTATCACACACACATACTACCCACTACAACACCACACACATACACACACACACACACCATCCACACTACCACACACACTCATCTTACTTATCTCTTCTATCTTCTATCTATCATCTATAGTCTCTACTAATATCTCTTATACTTCTATTACTTATTATTACATATTACTATACATTATATATTACTCTCTATACATATATCTCTCTATCTACTATATATATTACTTATTCTCATATCTTACCCCTTTCATCTTAAAAATTTTTTTCATAATTAATCTATAACTATATATATGTATGTGTCTATATCTATACATTATATATTAGTATATATCATATAACATATATCTATACTCTATATCTATTCTAATTCGTATCTATTAGTCTATATATTCTCTATATATTAATACAATGTAAAATATTAATACATGTGTACTATCTATTTACTGTATGTATGTATATGCTTTCGTGTATGTACTCTTGTTTACTAATCTATATAATATATATATAATATATATATATATATATATATATGTATATTATCATTGATATGTGTGTGTGTGTGTGTGTGTGTGTGTGTGTGTGTGTGTGTGTGTGTGTGTGTGTGTGTGTGTGTGTGTGTATGTGTA